TATGAATAGGTGTTCGTACCTATTGCATGTTTAAATGCTAATGATTATGATGATGATAATCATAGTGATAATTATATTGAGAAATGCTCCGTCCATTGCATTTCCAATGATGACAATGATTATGATGTTAATTATAAATTTTTATCAACGACATTGTACTTAGTGCATATTGCTTTTGGTCAGATATTTTAAAAAATAATCAAATATGAAAAAACACACAATAGCTTGAATAAAATATAAAATAGTATAATGTTGATAAAATGAATTACCCTAAAAGTATGCAATATTTAAAATTCTAATTCTGTTTAAGGCAAAACTTATATAGCTAATATAGAATTAATTAGAACAGAAGTAGCTAGCTATAGATAGCCATCAAAAATCAAAATAATAATTAAAAAATTTTTCTTTATTATGTTACAACTTGCTATATGGAATCTTTTATTAATTTCTCTTCTGAATGGGGATCATTATTAATCTCTTTGTGACAGAGTTCATTAAGTTATCTTCAAGAATATAAGTTACATAATGTTATCGAAAATTTTAAGTAACTTATTTTCGAAATCGGCATAATTCTACCTGCATGGCTTATAAGCTATGTACATAAATATAATATTGAATTTCAAAGAAATCGTGATGAATTACTCAAAAAATTCTTCTCAAATATTTTAAAATTACAAAGGAGCAGTTAATATGAATTTGATTAAAAAATTTGCAACATATCTAGTTCTTAATTAATTTCTTATGAATTTCGAAAGAATTTCCAAAAAATTTTTATATTAATTCTTAAAAGAAAAATTATGTTATAACGAGGAAAAATAGAGTTGACCGTGTCAACTCTGTGATACCCGTACGAATTTGTTATGCTATGTGCGAATAAATTTACCTTAGCTGATTATGGGAAAGACTATGACTTTAAGTTGCCGTATTACCATATTAATTTATGCAAAATTTCAGTACTGTGTTTCCAATATTTTCCGAGATATGACCAAACTACTACTGAAGTTGTATGGCAGCTGCCAGAACATGCCAAGCAATTGGCCGTATTAATATATTCGGTTGTGAGAAATTTCAATATCACAGCTTTCACAGTTTCTGGGATATAGTCAAATAAATTTTGAAGTTGTGTGGCAGCTACTCGAACCAGTTCCCTAAGATTCGACGCTAATCAAAATCATACATTTAAGTCTATATGTCAGAGGCTTATTTCTTAGCGTTACAAACGGTAAGGCAAATTTAGTATACCCTTCGAACATACGTTACAAAATATTGCAAATATAAGTGATTTTGTATACTAGTAGGAAAATTCGATTACAATTCTTTAGTTTTAATTTTTGTTTTGTGTAATATAATTTAATGATTATAGAGTGAGAAAAAATAACATAGCGAATATTAAATAACGGTATTATAACATAACAATTAAATGAAAACTTCATTAAGGATATTTTTTTTGTTTTATGTTTGAGAAATTTTTGCTTTTCTTCATAATAATTTTTTGCTGTTACATTTTATTGTGAAAAAGAAAATAATATTTACATCTTAATGATGCTTCCTAGAAATTTTACAGGTGCTGCATATATACTTCCATAGTACACACATAAACATATATAAAATATAAAAAAAAAAAAATACACAGAATTATGTAAAGTTTATACAAGTATGTCATAGAAGTATGCAATTATTTTGTAATTTTATTCAGTTTAATGTTAATAAAATTAACAAGAAGCAAAAAACTTGTGAAGAAAATTTTTTACAATTATTATTATTGTACAGATAGTAGGTACATTCGAGGAAAGTCTGAAGAAAATTTTAAAATTATAAGTATGCTCTAAAGTGTTTTTGTTTATTCTCTTTCGTTTATTGTTATTACAGTTAGTGTGTGTGTGTGTGTTTAAATGTATGAGGACTCTTTAAGGATTTAGTTAAATACCTTTAAGCTTAAAACATATTATAAAAAATGCAACGTATTTTTATTTTTTTTTTCTGTAAAATTTTGTGCTTAGTTAAGCATTCAAAGAGGGAATGCATTTAACGAATATTAATATTGTGTATTATATAGTATACCTACCTTAGGGTATAGGGTGTTATTTATAATAACAATTCTTAGGTAAAATATTAAAATGATGAATCTAAAAGGTTCTTTTCACAAAAAAATTAATAATAATCAAAATTAAGCCAAAGAAAATTAATTCATGTACAAGGTTAAAGAAATTGAATGAATTTGGTTCTAATAAAAAAACAAAAAATCATACCAAAGAAACTTAGAAGTCAGAAATATACCAAAATTTTGAATTGTTGTTGAAGTTTTGAATTTTACCTCAAAATTAACTTTAAATATTTATATTTAAATAATTACAGCTTTAGTGTTAAGTTGTTAGAAATGTGTAAAATAATTTCGTCTAAATTACACAAAACGCACAATTTGTTTTGATTGGACTGCGTATGTAAGATAATATTCACGAAAATATGGGAATAGGTTTTTCAAAGTCCCTTTAGTGTTCTTATAAATTGTTCTATTCTTATAAATTGTAATTTGTTAATAATTAAATTTAAATATTATTTTATTACTCGTTCCATTTTTGTTTTCCCGTTAGAAAAATTTCTCTAACTTGAAGAAAAATTTTCAATTTCTATGTACGAAGTATGTCAAGTAAAATGTTTTAAAATAATAAGCTGTGAATTTTAGACCTTTTTAAAAATAATTTTAGTTAGCAACAGCTTGTCATCCCTAATCATTAAAAATAAATTGGGTACACTATATTTTTGAATAATGCTGCATCTATTTTAAAGACAGTAACATTCAAATAAAACTAGACTGCAATTAATTTCTCTTATGTACATATAGAATATTGTATTTGAAATTTATTTTAAATTGCATCATGTACGCACTTTCATATTTAAATGTAAATCTACAATATATGAGCATACATTATTTTACATTGATAATAAAATCTTGTAAATTTTCCTGTTCCAGATTCATTGTTTTGATTTAATTAAGAAAAACAAGATCTTTTTATCAGAGATTTTTCAAGAATAAAGTCCTAATTTATTTAAAATCTTGTCAAATTAAAGAATATATTAAAAACAAAAATATTTTTATAAAAATAATGAATTAATATAATAATAATTTTCTCAAAGAATACAAGGTATTTTATCCAATGCAGTATTCGAAGAAAATGATGAATTTTATAAGTACATAAAATGACGAAGTGCTTAATAAAAATTAAACCTTTATTGCTTTAGGATAAAACTCCTTCGTTTTATTAAATTTTAATTTAATTTTCTTATATTTTCTTACATTTTGTAAATTTTACTTTAGCATGATTTGCTTTAGTTGTAATAGAACCATTAAGAATCGTTTTCAATTTCATTCCTCAATTGCATTTTTTCAAAAGTTGATATTTGAGATTAAATAAAATCAGACAATAAAACTCATACACTTTTAATTAAAAAGTACATTTCGGTCCGCCTAATTTTTCAAGAAATCGATAGTGGTTATTAAAAATTCTTAATTTTTCAATTTTAGATGTAGATATTCAGTTTTCTTGCGAACATATTGCACATTTGTTCATTCTTCGTACAATATTTTTATTTATTTTCTTCAAATTTTCTTGAAATTATCCAAATTCTTGTTGTAGTTGTAACTTATAGTTTGGAATAGAAATAAAGTTGCGTGAAACCAATGGCTTGTAATATAGCAATTTTCCCTTCTACAGATAGTGCTTCTATGTACACTACATTATTTAAATAAAATTGCTATGATTCATTTACAAATATATTTTAAAAATTGCCTGTATTTAGGATGAGCTATGCATTCAACTTTTGAAATAAAACAAAACAAAAAATTTAACGAGGAATTAAGATAATGTTTGAATTTAATTGTTAGTTGCGTGAGTTAAAAAAAATAATTATATTTTTTAATGGAATGATATTTACTGTAAGGGTTCTGCATTCATAGAAATTTTGAAAAGCTTAAAATTTCGGAAATATAAAGTGGCAAAAATTCAAATTTTATAAATTTTGATAGGCGATAACTTGAGAAAGGGTCGAGGTAGACAGTTTTTTTTAACCAAGCGAACTACTTATTAGTTTCTGAAATTTTAGGCTCTTACATCCTATCATCTAGATGGAAAACAATATGACAAATTTAAAAAAAAAACAGGTTATAAATAACGGTAAATTTTAGCGCGACATTTTGTTTTTTAAAGGTTTTTAATCAACTCAGAATTCGACGCTGATCAAAAAAATAGACTTGAGTCTATATCTCAAACCATTATTTCTTAAAGTTATAAACGGTACGGTATACAAATTAAAGTGATCAATTTGAGAAATAACTTGAGAAAATTGTTAAGAAGGAATATCGAGTTGATCTTTCATTAGCACTTAAAAATTTGTAGTAAGCACAAAATCGCTCTTTTGCCTTGGCTAACAGAATAGGGAAAATTAGTTTTGCTGCTTAAAACTATTTATTTTATTTAAACGACCCATATTTCAACGTGAGTCTCTTATTATTCGCTAATTCATCGTTGAAAGTAAACTAGTTTAACCAAAGACCACTTAAGTTTCTTAAAAATTTTTTATAGAAATAAAATAAATTTTAGTTTGAAAACGTGGAAAAAATGTTACTATTCATACCTTATATTTGAGTTAAATCAAAGAATTCGAATTGTTTTTCTAAAAATATGAAACCATCAGGAAAAAATTAACACAAAAATAAACTCTTGGTAGGTTCAAAATATACTGTTTATAAAAATTCATTCTTTAAATTGCTGATTGGCTAAACATCATTTTATTAACCTTTATTTTTTTAAATAAAAAATTTTAGATTATTTTCATTTTCATGTTCTTTTCCTTTGTACATGTCATCATCCCTTATATCCTATTTATTAAAATACAATCGTTTCCTGTTTTCACATCATGTTATTTTTATAATAGAATTTTTCATTCTAGTGTTTTTTATTATTCTATTCAATTATCTTTGGTTTTCTCTTATTAATATGTAGATAAACCTATATGTCGGCCTGATCAAAAACGAGTTTATGGTGTTGCTAGAAATGAAGCAGCTGAAATATTATGTGAAGTTGATGCATATCCGCCACCAGAATCATTCAAATGGTCTTTTAATAATACCGCAGAAACATTTGATATGCCACAAAGTGGTTTTAGAGCTCATTCTGCACAAGGATCAACTCTTACTTATACACCTGTAAAGGTAAGTATTATTAAATTAGATTATCACATTTTGTTTGTATGTACAATACTTTTATATTTTAATATAAATTTTAAATGTACATGAAATGGTTGAACATTCTTATATCTTAGTGAAACAATACTCTGAATATTTTCCACAATATAAGAGATTCCACTGTTACAAATGAATAATAGTAATGAATAGTAGAAATACTTTTCATTTGTATTGCTTTTGAATTATATTTTATAATAATATCTATAATTATAAATATTGTTATACACATAATAGCTGGATGATTATTAAAAAATTACCTTGCCGTTTGTAATTATTCTGCGATGCATTCTGCGATAATTTGGTTACTTTCACATATCTTACTTAAAGATACAATTAAGTTGATTTGTATTATATTAAACAGCCTGAGTGTTTCTAAAGCAATTAGTTAAGATTCTTAGAATTTATATTTTCTTACTTCGTAATTAGCAAAATAAACCATAATGAAATTTATTAATATTTTATTAAAAAGGCATGGGGATAAAAGTATGACTTTAAATTATTTTATTGTTATTCTTCCAAGTTTACGTTTTAATATTTTAGCGGAAATAGTATTGTACCGTGGTTGAATTCATATAAATATTTCCATATTTTTCTAAAATCTCTTCTAATTTTCTCTTAAGGGGAAAACATAAAATGAAAAAAATATTACGTTACAAAAATTGTGGTCTACATTAGGTCTTAAACTGTTGCTTTCAAAAAAAAAAACTACTCATAATTTGCTATATAAAATCTCATAGATTCAACTTTTGTAGGTTCATCAGAACGTTGAAATTATATGAAAAATTATGAAGACGAAAAATACGCAAAAGAATTCCTAATTATAAAAGAAAAAAGGATAAAAATATTCATGTACAACAGCGTCCGCTTTCATTAAAAAAATTTTTATTATTTTTTATGCTGTGCAATTTCCTTAAGCTCTAAATAATATAAATTATGTTAGCTTTGATATTAAAACAAAAAAGAAAAATTATTAATTTAAGAGTCAATTTTTATGATGAAAGTTTTTAAAGTGCGATTCATTTAAATTAAAAAAAAAAAATATAGACAAACTTTTCATAATACAATGGAATTTCTTATGCATATATTTGCATAATATTAAAAGGACTTCAAAGGATAAAACTAATATTATGTACATTATTTAAAATGTCCATTTTTATGTTAAAATCTGTGTGCCATTTATTAAATTTTAAATGTATTATTAAAATGCAATAAAGATAAATTTCTCTCTTTGTTTTTGAATCTCAGATGATCTCAATTTCCTAAAGAAATTTCTAATAAAATTTTTAATATCCTATATTTTAATATAGATATTCATATGAAGTTTTATAAATATCATCTCTTATACAACATCTTGAAAGATTTCATGAAATAGATGAAATTGGTTCTGGAGTGGTCACGCATCCCTTTATGATAGTTGTTATATTTGAAAGAATACTAAAAATTTAGTTATTATAATTCACATATTCTGGTATTTTTCCAGAATATGTGTAGCTACAATTTTGTTAATTTCTGTTTAAATTCTTTAGTAATTATATTTCCTTTGCTTTGCAATGCTGAATAAAGCTAAATTATTTATTCAATAAAATTTTCAGCTGATATCGAACATAATATCCTTTATAATTGATTGCATTGTTGAAAACTACCTCATCACACATGCTATTACAATTATTAATCTAATGGTTAAAAATTTTATCCTCGAATACACAAATCCAAACATTTGAAGTAAAAAAATAAGATTCTCAACCAAAATCATATTTATTTTGTAATTTATAGAGAAAATCTATAAGTATTGAAGATGAGTCACAATATTTTCTATTTTATTCATTTGAATATCCTTTAAATTGTTATGCAAAATGAAATACCTATAGTGCCGAAAATTATTGTAAATAATTTTGAATAATGAATGAAAAATTGAATGGAAAAGAAAAACATTTTTATTTTCTATACTTATCTTTTGTGTATGTGATGAAAATTTCTATTGAAATAAAATGAAAATAATGTTCTGATGTATTGTCCTTCTTTATTCCATAATATTTAAAGAATTTTCAAAAGTTTTATTTATTTATTTTTAAATTTTTTTTATTGTGTTTGTTCTTTATTTAATTTTATTATTTACTGTTGGCTTTTAGATTTAAAGAAAAGAAAATTTTTACTCAAATTTTCTTCTTCATTTGTTTTTCCTTATCCTTTTTATACCCTGCACTTCGTGAAGGGTATATTAACTTTGGTATGGAGTTTGTAACTACTTGAAGGAGTCATCTGCGGTATGGACATATATATATATTCTTGCTCAGCGTAAAATTCTGCGTCGATTTAGACATGTCCGTCCGTCCGTCCGTCCGTCCGTCCGTCCGTCCGTCCGTCCGTCCGTCCGTCCGTCCGTCCGATCGCACGATAACTCAAAAACCAATAATGCAATCGACACCAAACTTTCACAAGTTTTTTCTTTTGTGCCAAGGACGAACCCTATTGTTATTGGACTAAGTCGGACAACGGGTTCGGGTAGCTGCCATACAACTCCAAGAGTTTATTTTAAATATTTCAAAAACTAATAAAGCTATAAATATAAAATTTTGTATACATGTGTCCAATTATATTCTACACATGCTCTAAAAATTATAATGGGATAGCTGCACCGGTTCGGGTGGCTGCCATACAACTCCAACAGCAAATTTTTTATATTCGGCAAAATAATAAAGTCAGATTCATGAAACTTGGCAGTCATGTGTCCAATTATGGGTCAGACATATTTCTGAAGTTGTGGTGGAATTGCTTAACAGGTTCGAGTAGATCCCATACAAGTCTAAAAGCTTATTCTTAATATTTGGAAAAATAATAAAGACAGATTCATGAAACTTGGCAGTTGTATGTCCGATTATAGATCAGATATATTTGTGAAGTTTTGATGGAATTGCTTGACAGGTTTAGGTACTTACCATACAACTCCAAAAGCTAATTTTAAATATTTTGAAAAATTATAAGGTCAGATTGATGAAACTTGGCAGTCGGATGTCCAATTTTAGGTCAGACATGTCCGTGAAGTTTCTATAGAATGATCTCACAGGTTCGAGTAACTGCTACTCAATAACGAAAGGTGCAGGGTATAATTCAATCGGTTTATACCGACTGAAACGTTTTTACTTGTTTTATTTATTGTATGTCCTTGCATTTTATAATATTAAAGAATATTTATTTAAATTTTTTATTTACGTTTGAAAAATTAAGTAAACAATTTTATTTAAAATAAATATGTGTGTATATGAAATTGATTTGACCAAATTTTTAAGGACATAATTTAATATAAATTATGAGAAAATTTACTGATTGGTTGTTGGAATGTTGTCATTAAAATGGGAATGTATAATTATTCTGCAAGTTTAAAATCACTAAGTAATTTCCAGAATACAGTGAAGTCCCTCTAACACGCAACCCAGTAAGAAGAAGTTATCCTTACTGTTTTGTTTTTTTGAAGAAAAAAACTAGCAACCTCTTTAATTCAGAATTATTTGAAGGATAAGAAAAAAAAAATTTTAAATTCAAAAATAGTTTTTTCTTTAATTTTTGTTTTTCTTTTCTATCGAAAAACTTTTTTACAAAAAATAGTTGACATATTTTTTTTCTTTTTTTTTAATTTCCCAATATTTTCCAAATAATAAGTGAGAGTGACCAACTTGAATAAATTTTCAAAAAATTCAGATACCTACTCAATGTAATTTATAAGTATTTTCACCTCTTCATTGTTATTACTTCAGGCAATTTTAGCTTAAGAAATTTTCTTTCAAAAAATGCTTTGTATTCCCAAAAAATTTGAAATAACCATTAAATACCATTGTGAATTTAACGCTTTATACTATTGACTTGTAGTTTTTATGACACAACCATTAAAGCACCTATACCTTCTATGTTTTTCATGGGAAGGCAGAGGAGAAACAAAAAAATACTGAAAATTACAGCTTAGTCTGATAAACGACCCAAAAGTCCGATATAAAAATGTAGAATTGTGTCGTCAAAATTATAAACAATAGTATTGCAGTATAACTTTAAAAATATCACCGTCAATGCCCGTTTTAAAAATTCTTGATAGCTTCGAATCTAAATTGCTTTTTATACCCGTAGGAACGTATGTTCGAAGGGTATACTAAATTTGCCTTATCGTTTGTAACACTAAGAAATAATGCTCTGAGATATAGACTCAAGTGTACATTCAATCAGCGTCGAATTCTGAGTTGATTTAGCTTTGTATGTACGTCCGTCCGTCCATTCCAGCGATAACTCAAAAACTAATTGAGCTATCGGGGTATTGGTTCGGGTAGCTGCCATACAACTTCAAAATTTATTTAGCTATATCTCAGAAACGAAGTCAGCTCTATTTTTTCTCATTATAATTAAATTTTGTTCTCTCATAGTTTTTAAATTTTATATTAGTATTACTTACATTTAATATTTAATTCACAATAATAATTATTCAAGATTTATTCACAATATATTATGTTTATTGAATTTATAAAGCAATTTTATTGTGCTGCGTTATATGTACGCGCAAGTATGACAATATTGCAATTACAAAACCAAACAAATAAGAAATCAAAATATGAATTATTCACTACCGTTACGTGCTTTAAAATATTATTGTATATTCTGATATTATTTCATTGTTAAGAGGGGAAGAAGCGATCGATATTGCATAAATATTTTATGCACAAGGTAATATTTAAAAGGTGTTTATTTTATTTCATATTGTATTTGAGTTGAGCGTGTACTTAAAACAATTAAAGTTTTTAGTACATTAGTTCACATTTTATGTCGCAATACGCAATTGCTTTTTAGTTGAAAGAATCAATAAGAATTTCATTTTTTTACACACGTCGTGTGTATTTATTCTTCTTTTGTCATTTTATAACCATCAAGCATTTTATGCATATTTCTGATTAATTTTTCAATGACAAAAAGTCTATTGTATAAATTTC